GAAAATAAGACTTTAGGTAAAGATGATATAGGGAACATGAAACCAAAGGTTCACAGGATGGACAAGATGAGGCATGGAGAACCACTGAGACATCCCAATTAGAAACCTGAAAACTATGTCAAAGATGGATAATCCAAAAAAATTTCAAAAGCATGGATAAAACTGGGGACTCAAAATCTTTACATCTTCCAGAATAACAAAAAGTAGCTGACAGAGTAGCCTTATACAGAGAAATGGACAAGGTGCCAAACCTGTGTCGGAAATTGAGAAACATGTGGCACAGTGGAACGAGAAGGATTAAAACCATGTCTGAGAGACCACTGATGATAATGTCCAATGAAGAATGCCAAATGGTCCATGTTAATAAAGATGTCACATGAGAGGTCAATCTTTGATGTTGTGCAATAAACTGCATAAAAGCCAGGCATGAAGCCGGAGAATGGTGATCGCCGGATAAAAAATGTCCAACCAAGGCTGATGTAACAGATATAACCAGAGAGGAATTGGAAGAGGTTGGCACTCCTGAAAATACTGAAGGTGTGGAAACCAATGCTGACCCAGCAAATGTGGCTCCACCAGAAGAACTCAACAAGATGAGGAGCGAAGCAGTGCAAGAACTTTGGAAAGCAGATGAATTGGAGGGAATGTGCAAGGATGAAGACCCATCCAAACCTGGCTGAGAGCATTTATGCCCAAAGCTAGAGGGTGAGGTACAAGAAACCAGAAGAATGGGAATTGAGAATTCCAGTTTGTGCTGAAAGCACCAATCTGAAGCATCTCGAGACAAGAGCAGGTCCAATGAAAATCTTGTGGATGAAGCATACATTCTGTGGGAAGAACTCTGTCAGGTCAAGATAACTGATTGACCATGAAATTCATTACTCCCGGAACATGACAAGCAAGGAGAAGAGACATCTGGGCCCGACTGAGACTGGAATTGATAAACATCCCTAAATGGGCATGGACGAGGTACTGTGTGAGAGGAAAAATAGATGTCTCTGTTGTGATGAGAAACCCAGTTCTTGCAGCATTGGATAAAAGAGCTTGAGTCTGAAGTTCTGTTAAGTGGTGGAAAGAAGCCAGCTGTCCATATTATGGTGAGTGTGAATGCCCTATGAGTGAAGGTGACGTGAAAAGGATCTGACTATCCAGCAAAAGACACATTGAGAAGATGCGAGGCTGAATGGTAGAACATAAAATTGAAAAAACTGTCACTTGTGTACAAAATGGAAATAACAATGTGAAGACTCCGTGATCGGAACATGAAGATAGGAATCAGTAACACTGAACCTTGTCATTCATAGACTGGGCACAAAGTGCCACTGAAGGGAAAGAAATGACTCCATCGTAAATTGAGAAAGCTGGAGGAAATGATTAAGATGAGAAAGGTCGATTACAGGTTGTCAAATGCCCATTGTCTGTGGTATTACAAACAAATGGTAAATGCAGGAAACCTTCCAGTAGAAGACCATGAAAGGCAAGAGGCCAGTGTCAAAAGAGAAGAGTGGAGACGAGCCACATCCACTCCATGGAAACTGGAATACCTGCAAAAATGAAATATCTGAGAAAAGAAGCTTCTCAGAGATCTTTAGAAGCTGAAGAAGGAAGTCAAACCCCCACAAGCTAAGCAAAGTTACACTGGTTCATTTGCTGTATCCACTGTGAAGAATTGAACCCTGATTCTAACAGTGCAAGTCTGTAAACTTACCGCTGTCACACCAGGGAACAATTATCCAAAGTAGAAGTCAAGAAATGACTAAGATCATCTGAAAATTGCACAATGGCATCAGGCCAAGAACCCTGAAGAGTAAGAAGAGGATCTAACCTCCGAGAATCTAAATATGAGTGATGGAAAGCTAAGAGATGCTGATCCAATATATGGGGAAGACAACAAGGCATGGCAGCACCCTCTCTCAATTGATTAACAATGTCAAGCAAAGGTGGAAAGACCAGGTAATCAGCTGAATGATGTTCCCCTCAACAAAGAAGGAAAAAAAGTCATAAGCTACAGGAGAAATGCTCAAGACATTACAAACTGGATATACTAGTTACAAAAATGGTTCAGGATGTGAGATGTCTGTCCGAGGCTCATGATTAGCTGTCTGAGCAAATTTGCACCAGTCCTCCCCTGATCCCCCACAGGCTCAGCTTCTGAGCTGACAGGAGAAGAAACACCAGAACTCATGTAAAACTCCACTTCTCCACGTATGAAGGAGTGGGCATTGTCTGCAGAAAGGGGGCCCCCTAACACTTGGGTAACTTAAGACACCAGAGGTGTCAGGTTAGGAGCACTAGAAGACTATGTCACAGTAGATAATTTGTGAATTCATATCTGGAGCATCTCAGAAATTTTTTCTTTTCCCATCTACTTTTACTTTCAGAATATTTATAACACCAAATATTACTGTAATCACATTGAAAAACTATTACTTCGAAATTTCATTTTCATGATGTTGTAAAATAAAGAAAATTGACAACAAACTCTAGACCCAAGAAGACATGTCTAAAAAAAAAAGGAATTGTCTAAAGTGTAGTAAAATGTAGGTATAAGTAACACTATTCAACAATGAAGAGAAACCTGTAGCAAGCACGTAATACTGTCATAACTTTCTGCCCTTCGGGAAAAGTGAATAGGAAGTAATAATGGGAGCTTCTATACACATCTAGGACAGGGGATGCACTGATGTAGGTGGAAAGAAGCACATGATTTAACTTGTTTTGGGCTATAAATTGGGGTACAAAGTTTGGAGCATGTGAGGTAAGATTCATACCAATGCTCAGATGGGCAGAAAAGAGAAACTTTAGTCGAGATAAAGCTATAGTGTAAGAGGAGGTAAACATGTCTTGGAAAACTAGTCTACATATAATAAAGGACTATGTCATTTGGTTTATCCACAGCATGTAAATAACAAAGTTTAATTGATGAGATTGAAATATTTTTATAAAATGTGGATGTAATTCACAAGTAACAAACAAAATATGCTTCTTCTACATTCAAAACTTCTAATGACAAGCTTTCAATCTTATTTTAGGGTCATCATTTTAGGTCAGCTGAATAAACACAAAAAAAGATTTGAAAAAAATTTAAACAAGGACATAAGATCACTTGCAACAATTTGGACAACTCTGCTGTCTCTCTCAGCAAAATCCTACAGAAATCTTACAGCCATAGATTTAGTTGTATTTATGTGAAGAAAAAGATTGTGGTTAAATAAATGGATAAACAATGCACAAGTTAAAGAGTGCAGAAATATTATTCGTTGCAATATATTTGTCTGTGAATATATAGAATCAGAGTGCTAGCTGTTCTGAGTGCAAAGCAATTTTCATTTTTAGATAAAAAAATACTTTTCTTCATCTGAAAGTTTTGAAATTTAATTTGTGTAATCTAAAACCTCCTAAAGAAATATTAAAAAGTTTTCTTCAGTAAAGTTCTTATATTTTACCTATTCTTTTCTCTACCCTAGTCTATATGGATTTGGTTGATTTGACTTGTCTTGTAACTACAATACCAAAATATGAAATAAATATAAATTACTCTTTTTTTAATTTCTAAAATGAGTGCAAATTGTAAGAAAAAACTATAACTGTTTATCCTAAATAGCTTAAAACTCGTAACAGTCTACATATGTTTATAATTTAATTTTATTGTTTTACTGCCTTTTGAATCATTATAATCAATAATAACACCACACAAGTTGCAAATCACACAGTAAACATGTAACTCACGCAACTGTATTGAATGATGCACAAGCTGCTTGTGAGAAGATATTGTGAAGAATTTTTATTATTTTTCATTATCTTACCTAATCTAACCCAATATATTTTTAATTTTCACACCTTAGTTACTTTTGTAACCATAAATAAGAAATACAGATGAAAAATAAGAAACATAGTACTCAGATTTGGCCTCTTGTTCTATAACTATTAAAATGTATTGGGCTTTCTAACTAGAATAAGAGTGGTTTAATTCAATTTCCTTTGCTATTTGATCTAAACAACACAAGATAAACTTCAAACGAAAATTGACAATATTCTGTACTGAAACCAGAAAAAGTATTAAACATCATTTCATAGCTTAAAACCTTGCCTTTCTATTGGTAATAAATGATATAGTACAAAATGCCAGAAAATATTATTGGCAATTTGTGAAGAAAGGAAGTGACAGGTGGTCATAAAAAGTGGGTCTGATTTTCTACTTTATTACTCCAAAAACAAATAAGATTGAAGGCTATAAGATTAGGCTTTGCCTTAGTAATACCTATGTTATAATAAGTAATTGATATTAAATTCTATACTTCAGAGATGGGTGTTAAATAAATTAGAGAAAAGGGAAGACCTAAAAAATAAATGTTATGATTCTCATACTAGGAGAAATTGAAGATTTTTAATAGTATTTTTTTTATAAAATTAAGAACTTAAAACTTATATAATATTAAAATTTTGATTTATTAACAACGTTTTTATAGCAAGTTTATTCATATATGTTGAGAGTAAAATAGTTTAATTAAATTTTGAACATAACTAAGTAAAAGGTAATGACATGCACACATTACCCTACCTGTAATAAGAGGGTTAATTGTATGTGACCTACTAACAATTCAGTGACTCTTAACAATACCCTTATAAATTTAAACTGTATTTTGTAAGTTCTTTCTTTCTTTTGTGTTTTTTTTCAGTTGCCCTAGTGACAACATTAAAGTAAGGTTGTCAATGAGGTTTTAAAAATGAAAGTTTTATATGTTAGCTACCTTCATTAAATGATGACTTTATAGGCTTTTAATAAAGTTATTTTTTGTAAATAACACACATTTATCTCTGAACTGCAAAAAACCAAACATTTTTTGAGAATTAAATGTAAAAGAATTTGTGAATTTGTAAAGTGTATTCTCATACTGTTTCTTAAGTTCTTAACATTAAACTTGTTATTTTTATTGTAATATAATCTTCATAAACTTAGATTTTACTGGTTACATAATGAATAACAAATCTAAAACTTGCTAATCAGATTGTTTAGGTGAGTAAAATAAATAAAATTTGTTACGAAAAGCTAAGTGATTTAGAAATTCCTTACCTATATTAAGAGTTACTGTGATGATATTTAAAGACATAGTTGATTCTGTAATGCTACTGATAGAAGATGTCTGTGGGAGAAAATGGAAAGCAACTGTCAAGGAGAACAGTAAAAAGTGGTAAAATATTGTTGGTCATATAATATAAAATTGTTTCAGTATTTTTTTCAATTAAGAGATATTTCATGAATTTGTAAAATTATCATAAACTATATTTACAAAAGCCACAATCAAAGAACTGCACTAGGAAAATTACCATCAACACAAAAGCAAAATAAAGTCAAAGAGTCATATCAACCTCAGTGTGTAAAAATGTTAAGATTTGACTGGTAACTCTACAGTTATGGTAATCTTCTTTCTTTCACAGAAGTTTTTGTATATTACAAGTGATATGCAAAAAACAAATAAGTGAAGAAAATTATTACACAAAGTGTATTTTGAATAAGTATATAAAAAATATTCTAATTGTCAATTAATAATTGTTGATGAAGAACTTAGTCCACCAAAGTTAATTAAAACTTTAAAATTATCATTACGTACCTGAAACTATTAAGGTTCAACTTAAAATTTCCATATGGATAAACTTTGATTTGTGTTTCTATATAAAGTTGAATATTTTCTACTGAGCAATTGAATATGATTTTGATAACAATTATTTCTCATTCAATTCTTATAACAGTGTACAATCACAACTAACTCCAATCAACCTCTGTGATTTCAGACCCCTTTTATATCTAACTTTAACCAAGTTCACTGTTTCCTTATAAAACACTCGATTAATCTATATGGATTTCTTTTTGGCAATGTAAAATTACAAAAGTCACCACCATCATCACCATACCCTATCAATGAAAATGACTTACTCCATCTTGAAAGTTAGCTATACTGCAGTTGTCTCTCCTTACCCTACTCATTGGCGGTATTCTATGTCTTCTCCTTCTTCGCCTCTGACGAGCGTGAATCTTAGAAACACTACTTTCTCCAGTTGTTGTAGATATTCTTATATATAAAAACACAAACAACAATTACACATGTGTACATGAAGTACAAATGTTTTATATTAAATTACAAGGTTTCACAAGTTACATCTCTAGTAAAATTTTCTTGCACCTTACAAAATATGGTGTACCTTATATTTGTAGTTAAGTTCTTCTATGATATGACATTCCTATGATATATTATATTCTTACTGATCTTTTTTTTAAGACAAAAAAAGTTTCTTCTCTCCAAGGTTTGTACCTGCTGGTGGTCTCATCCTCTGAATCTACAAAACTTGTGGTATCAATGTCACTAGTCACCATGGAAGAAGTCTCATATGCATGTCCTCCTCGGTGTTTTTGCCCATGTCCATGTTTGTTGTGGCCATTGATTCTCCCTATGATGACAACAATTAACTACTACATACTTTAAACTCAGAAAGCTTGTTATAATCAGCTTCCTTAAACTTCAAGTAAAAACAATCATGGGTGCCCCTATATATTTATACACAGAAAATGAATGTTAAAAAGATATGTTACAATCACATTAACTGAATAAGAGCAACTATAAGTTGTATCTGACATGCCAACAAGTGTTAGATATAATCTGAAATCACTAGTTTTGAAATACATCATATGAAGTTGTAAAGATCATCATGAACAAAAACGATATCAAAATAAAAATGTACTTTAAATCTTAAAAAATATTTCAATTTTATTACTGATGCCTCTTTAACAATTACTCAACTGTATGAACATAAAAAGAATTAATAAATATAATGAAAGCTTTAACTATCTGTAAAACAGGCTAATCTTCAGAACAATAATTCCTCATAAAAATATTCTGTAAACTTTAAAATGTTTGATGTTAAAGATAAGTAAGAACTGATAAATTCATTCAAAACTCATTATTCTGTACTAATTACCATATTATATTAAAATTTATTTGAATATGCAAATCACCAAGATGCATGACAGTCACAGCCAATATAAAGTCATGGTGAAACAGAATGTACCAGAAGTACATTCTTACATTGCTTGGCAATGTCACCAAAAACTGAATGCTTTTGAGAAAAAAAAGAGTATGTAATAACCCCTTTCCAATGAAAAATACTCACACACCCAGATAATAAAGATGTGTTCAGATCAGCGATTCAGAATTTCAAAATGGAAATATCCCTTGTACTTTTCAACACTGGAAAAAAAACAGGTACATGGATCAACCAAAAAAGAAACCTGCAACAAGTCATATTCCAACTGTGGTAAGCAAAGTGCGGTTTCTTGGAACATGTGAGAGCCCACAAATGCAAAGGTCAATGGCAAAAGCTGTCCACCTGCCTCAGGCAACAGCATGCATAACACAATCAAGAATGATCTCCATCTGGAAGAGCAACACAAATAACAAGCACATAAGTTGCTTCCATAATGCATTTGTTGAACCTTCTTATACCTCACACTGCTGGAGAATGAAAGAGGTATTCATTCTGCTTCATATAAAGACATACTGGTCAGGGCACTGGATGATTTTCCCTGAAGATGGCTGGCTGAATCCAAATGAAACATACAGTTTTATTGATTTTAATATATTCTTGCTTTTAACAACATTGTCGCGTGTGTGTGCTTTTGTTCTTGTATTATTTTAGCATGAAGTTACCATGTAATTGCCAAATTGATAGATATATATCTGTCTTTATAATTGATTTGAAGGTCCATATTATATGTTTAACCAGTCAACAGTAATTATACATATACTTAATGGGGAGATTCCAATTTCAACAAAAATCACATGACCCATGTGTAATGAAGTAAAATAATTGTCAAGAGTAGAGAAAGCGATAGAAAGCACTCCTATCACTTTAGGAATTTTTTAACCCTATCTCAATGGGTCTTCCTATGGTCAGGAGCCAAAGAGCATATCATCACATTTGTAGATTTACATTCAAAATTTTATAGAGCCATTATTTTATGAATGTATATCAATAAGTTTGATATCAAATTGTAGATTTTAATTCAAATTTTAGTATTATACATCAGTTATTTTCTTAATTTAAAAATAAGTCCTACCTATTGATTTTTATGTGTCATGTGGTACATTGAATGGAGCTTTGGTACAAATCAGATATTTGTCATGTCCGAACTTAAAGTCTATAGTTTCTTACTCAAATAACCAATTTTTACAAGCTAGTATATAAGATAAGAACCTCCTATCACTTTTATTTTCTGAGAAAATAATTACATTTAGCAAATCAAATAAGGTGGCCCTGCCTACCTCTTTCATTTCTCAAAAAAATGTGCTTACATACACATACTTTGCCCAATGACGTGTGTATAACAAATCAAAAGCTCGGAATGTTCTCCGCATGGTTTTCTCAGCTTCTGCAAAGTGTTAATGTAGTGAACCCTTTCTTTTCATGTTAAAATCAAAGCAGTAAGATAAGACACCATGAAGCTCGAAAAATCATAGTGCAATTCTGTAGTATTGATTTAGTAATTTATGAATTTTTAATTTCAAAATGCTTATATAAAATCTAAAAAAAAATTTTTTTACATTCTCCATGTGGAAAATTTGAAAAGGCTTAGCAAATTATGTCAAGCAGCAAATGAGTAGTAAGTCTGTAAGCAGACAAGATCATTGTTTTCTATACTTCTTTATTTACTGTTCTATGTTTAAGAGAAATAACTGAAATTTAAGAACATATTTGTAAATAGTAATAATATATATATATAGACATGTAATGTATTATAACTGAAATGTAGCATATTTTACAAAATACTGGTCCACTAGAACAAAGCCAAGACAGGTCACTTAGTAAAGGCCAGTTTTATACTATTGGGTACAGTAACATCAGTGCATGTGAGCCACGTCATTGCAACTTCTGTAATGTTAGTCAGACACGACTGAAAGGTCAATAAAATAATAATAATAAATATATATAGACGTATAATGTTATGAGATTTAAGCTATTTACACTAAACATTTGTGTTTTCGTGTTATAATTTTAGTCATTCTAGAACAAAAAAAGCCTAATTTATGTTTACTTCCTAATTTTTCATGGTGGTTAAGAGGTCAGTCAAATCGACCAAACCCATACAGAGATACAATAGTGAAAATAATAGCTAAAAATATAGTTTTTTAAAAACAAAAAAAAACGTTTGATAATTATCTAGAGGTTATAAAGATTTCGCATATGAAATTTGAAAATTTTCTGATGAATAAAACTTATAATTTTCCTAAACTGAAAATGTATTTCCAATAGGTAATTCCCTCCGCTCACACAATTAGCTATTCTCATTCATTGCTGCCCTCTATATGCAAACTTTTTTTTTCTTTATGCATGCCATAAGCCTTCTGCTCCCCTTATTGGAATCAAGTGATTCCAAAGCGTTTCTCATGCAAATCATCATGAGTCACCTTTCCACTAATAGGAGCATAGAACATGTGACTCCTTCTATGTACCTCTACTGAACTAATACTTTGAAGTTTGGCAGAAAACAAGCACCAGAAGTGTGTGGGGAGGAAGGGTGGGAAGTGTAAGAGGAGGTAAGTACCTATCAGAAATACATTTTCAGTATAGGAAAATTATAACTTTCGATATGGTACTTCCCTCTGTTCACAAAGTTAGCTAAAATCCCACTCTGATAAGGTGGAAGGACTGTTGCAAAGGAAGAACAAATGTACCCCCCTCACCTGAAAGCGTCCAAAGGATACTTCCGTAGTTGAGAGAGCCAGATCTGAAGAGAGGTACCACACACCACATTTCCTAATTAATTAATTAATTTCCTAATGGGCTCAATAGAGAAGATCCAATGTACAAAAATGGAGGGATCTTGACCAGATTTTCTCTCTTGGTGATTGATATATGCCACCATCGTCAAATTGTAGGAGTGAATCATCACTAGACAATGGCGGGTGAGAGGAAGGAAGTGATCTAAAGCCCAACAGATGGCTAGAAGCTCTAGGAAATTGATATAAAATGACTGTTTGTCCACCAATCAACGACCCAAAGCCTCCTGGAGATCGACCCACACACCCCAGCCTGGAGAGATGTGTTCATAAAGAGGTGTAAATCAGGACATGCCAACAAGTGAGCCTTGTCCAATCACCAAACCTGATTATCTGCAAGGGAAGGAGTGAGTGTAATAGGGGCAGCCAAGGGATCCCGAGCAAGGTTCCACTGATCATGTACAGCCCACAAAAGGGAACGCATATGTGTAAGACCTAGGGTAACCAGAGGGGTCACAGAAGATCACCTCCCCAAAAGTGATAGAACCTCGTGTACAGAAAGTGAGGAAGAAGTCAGGGTGTGACGAACTGATAATTCCATCAAATGTAGTTGGAGAGCAGAAGACTGAGTCTGACTAAGGCGAGTGTTGAAAAAGACACTCAAGTGGATAAGGTATTTGGTAGGATGTGGGTAGGACTTCTCCAATTTGATCAATCACCCCTCCGAAGCAGCCACTTGAAAGAGCTGATGAGTATGACCAGAAGAAGCCAGTCGTCCATGTAATAATGGAAATGCAGCCATAGGGCATGAAGAGCAAAAGTCCTCACCACCCAACAGAAAACATAAGGTACCAAAATGAGCCCAAAGGTTAGGGCACAAAACTGGTACACCACCATGTGATGGACAAACCAAAGATATGGATGAGACTGCTGCTACTAGAATATGCAGGTAAGCATTGGTGACATGCATCTTGGTCATCCATAAGGCCAGAGAAAATGCCCACCGGAGGGTGAGATAGGACTCCATGGTGAAATGAGGGAGGTGAACAAAGCCACTGAGGTGGGATCAATTGATGACAGGCCTCCAGACCCCGGTTATCTTGGGAACAACAACAGAGATGAGAGTAATACCCTGGTGAATGATGGACAACAGGTTCGATAGCCAGTTGATTGAGGAAGTCCTGCACTGCCTGTGATAGATGCTGAAAAACAACAGGATCCTGAGGTAAAGGAAAGAAAATGGGTACATGGGATCTTTAATCCTTCTGACAAGATATGAAGAACCCAAACATCATTTATGAAAGAGTGACATTGAAGAAGAAAGGCTGCCTGTCAGTCCCCACTGGACCCAAACCCACCAGTACTGTTGGTGACGTATCGTGCATCGTCGAGAAAAACAATGAGTTGTGGCACCTCGGGAAGGAGGGACAGGTAAGTGTTAGGAAGGGGAAGGAGAGGAAACTGGGATCGGTGCCACACTTGGCTCCATCTGAGACAAACTGGCCACCAGATGGGAAAGGGTGAACTGTCGTTGGACCAATGCTACGTGTGATTATAAAGCCACCGGGATCATATCAAATACAAAACTCCAGAAAAGGGGAGCCACACGTGGATCTCAGTGATAAGGTGCAAGTAAATAGGTCCATGATAAAATAGCATCCTGACTCGGAAGGT